TGGCGGCCGCGGTTACTGGACCCTTCTCTGGGCTGTGGGGCTGACCGGCTACCGGCGGGAGGGTTGTGAGTTCTTTCTCTAGCCGTGTCAGTCTGCTTTGGACAATACTACCTTCCAGTCATTTGGTGAATAAGTCTTCAAGTCATTATTCCCTTAGTTCCCCTGCTCTTTACAAAGTGATACTTGGACAATCTGAGCGGACAGTGCCACAGTGTGGAAGGAGCGCTGGCAGAATAAATAATTAATTATGTGTATAACTTTTTACAGATAGATAAATGCAGGATGTAACTGTGAAAATGGTTTTTGCTTTGATTACGTTGGAGTTACTGTTTGCTTTTTTAAAACTTGTGGTATTTAAAATAAAGCCTTCTTCGTATCTAGTGCTTATAATTGGAAAACCTGTTAACAGAATGTTTCCAAGTATACGAATGACTGAAGGATTAAATTAAGTCACGAAATGTAATAATAGGGTGAAACTTTTCAGTGTCTCACTTGGACCAGGTCTCTGATAAGTGGCCTTCTCTCACCTACAGATACGCTGCTTACACACAGAGCCACATTTGAAAATGTTAAGAATATCTTGGTCTCTATGGAAGCAGGAATTTTCTTTTCTAATATGACTTCCCAAAGCAGTTCCTAAACTGTCCTTTAATAGTACGTCACGCAACAAGCACGAGACATTTACGCATGGTGAAGATACTGAGGTAAGAAAACAAGGAGCGCCCAGTGTGATGGCCGACGGTCCTCAGAAATCTCTCTGTTCTGAACGTGTCCGCTACCCAAATGGTACCCGAAGTCCTGAGCCTGTGCTGCCGAGGTAATTGTGGTCCTCCCGCCCTCCTTGCTCTGTCATCTCTCCATGCAGCACTCCAGCTTCCTGCTTGTGCGCCCCTGCCCGCGCCGTTCCTTCTCCCCAGCGCAGCCTGGAAAAGAGAAAGGGGGGTGTGTGCAGGGGCAGTCGGCAGCTCTGTAGAAGGAAAAGGAGCTATTGCCTCTGGAAGCTTCTTGTCTTTGGGGCTAAGGTGAACAGATCCAAGCTGTAGCTCCCAATGATGCTTCAGCATGATATATTTTTAGTCTCGATGGAATTGTTAATGACAGCAAAAAGCGTGGTGGAAGTGATATAAAAAGTACTGACATGTTTATGTCTCAAATATATCTAATGATTGGCAGGGTGATGTTATTTTCCTGTAATTTAGATCCCTTAAATATTTTTCACTGAAAAATATCTGGAACTCCTTTGGGTGAAATTTTCAGTTAGAATACAAGTAAATCCCATGTAGATATGACTGTACTTGCATACCAGTGACCAGTAGGGAGAAAATGGTTCTCCAATATAATGTTCCATGGGAAAAAAATCACCGTTGATCATGTGAGGTTATCCTTCGTGGGTTGTTTTTTCTTGTTTTGTTTTTGGTAGTGCTGAAGCAATATGCTTCAGCAAATTTTCTTGCAGAGATGCAGAAAGTATGGGATGGCAAGGTTAGTATCTCATACAACCTTGTTATAATGCATTGAGTTTTATCAACAAATTAACTAAAATGTTGCTTAATAAGCCATTTGAGTTGTGAACAAACACATTTTTCCTCTGTTTATAGATAGGGAAGTGGCATGCTGACTTTGAGCTCGTGCTGTTTCCACAGATGAGTGAGTAAGGGGCATAGACCACCTGAAATCCTCCAGCCTCACATGACGAGTTCAGATAAAGCCTCCCCCTACCACCACCTCTGTTAGCTTTCCGCGTTGACATAGCTTTCTGTTCCATGACTGTGCTATTTCCATTACTTCTATTTTTAACCAACAGAACTTGCCCACTGTTCAGATTTAGTTAATTCTGATGACAAGTGAGCCAGAAGGCAAAAAAATTTGTTTTGTCATGCAAAGGGGATCAGAAACTGCTAAAACAAATAAATGCCAGCTGATAGCCTACAAGAAGGGAGTTGTCAAGCAAGAGCAGTGGTTTCAAAAAAGCTGCTATTTATTGCAGTTTGTGAAAGCGCTCCTTACTGTCTAACTGCAAGTTTTCTTTGGAAGAAATCAGTTGTGATGTGTGTACTCCAAACCAGTTAATTACTCTTCAAAACTGAGCAACAAAAGACTAATAATTGAATATACTGTCATCCTAGTAATAAACATTTTAAGTGCAAGTTCTATGACAAATGTGTCTATAGTTTAAGCGTATAGTTCAAATGAGTTGTATGTTATGGCAAATTAACCTTTGCAGGATTTTATCAAGAAAATAGTGACACAATGTGATGTAAATTCATTATTTTGGGGTGACTTCTAATGTGTTTTTTTTTTTTGTGACGTGAACGCCTTCCTGTGGAATGTGCAATTCCTTGCTATACTTGATTTGCCGGTGTTTTATTACTATGTCAAACCAAGACACCAAAACATATATCGTGAAAGCTGCTGATTTCAAAGGAAGTGCTCCTTATATTCTTAACTGTTGTTTTTTTCCACACTCATAAATAATTGTTTTTGTTTTAACTAAATCTAGGGTCGGTTTGCACAAGGTGGCTGTGTGGTCTGGAGATGTTAGAAGTAGTCATGCACCAGCCTAGAATGCGTGGGAAGCTTTTAAAAAGTCCGATTACGGTTAGTTGTTTTGCTTCATACAACTCCTTTGTATTTATGTGTGTGTGTGTGTGTATTAAAAAAAATACATTTATGAAAATAAATAAATAAATACATATATATATATATAGAGAGAGGGAGGTTTCAGTGAGCCCCTGGGGACTGTTGCATTAATGGACTACACGGCAGACCTTGCTATAGGGTCTAAAAGCATTGTGTCAAGACCGGGAAGCCGAGGCCGGGGGTTTGGCAGGAGCGTCGGCAGCGCGCACCTCCGGGCTGAG